CAGCCAGAGAAGATGATCTTCATATAGTGGTCAGGATGATCCGTCGGATAAAAAATCAGATGACCTGTCCAATAACGAATTAGATGACCCGTTCAATAATTTATTGCAAAGGCAAAAAAACGAGAAACCCAAAAAACCACCTAAAGGTCAGGATAAATCATCTAAAGGTAATGCTAAAAACGATAAATCCAACAAAAAAGATACAGGTGGTTGTAAAGATACATTCAAGAAACCACCTAAATCATCTAAAACAAACAATAAATGTGACAAGGGGGATACAAAGGGCAAAAAGGATAATACAATGGATAATGCAAAGGATAAGTCAAAGGGTCATAAGAAGGGTCATAAAAAGGATAAAAGGGCCAAAAAGAAGGCACCAAAGGGTAAAGGTGGATCAAGCGGTGCAAACACTGCGACATGCCAAGCTAAAGGCGGCGGGAAGATGACAGCAAACACCAAAGACTGTCAAGCGTTAGTTTATCACTATTTTTTATCATCAATGTAATGTGTCATGTCACAAATAACATGCTTGTGGTATCAATCAGGATCACAAAGTGATCATTCAGGCGCATTACACTTAGAGACGTGGTTTGGTTAAGATGCGCATAATGCTACATTTCTCTTCTCACTATGTGACGTGTTATTGAGTCCGATAGGTTCATTCATATAGTACAACCCTCTAGCCATGTTGTTCTTTTTCCCTATCAAACTCAAAACCTTTTTGTTGTGTCACAATCTTTTCCATAGATTGTTGTTTTCTTCAGATCATCCAAAGTCTTCCCTCAGTAAGACTCTGTCTGATCGTGATCCTTTTTAGGTGTTAGTTTCTTCTTAGCTTATTGTGTTCTCATATGATAATCAAACTCAAAACCTTTTCGTTGTGTCACAATCTTTTCCATAGATTGTTGTTTTCTTCAGATCATCCAAAGTCTTCCCTCAGTAAGACTCTGTCTGATTGTGATCCTTTTTAGGTATTGTTGTTTTCTTCAGATCATCCAAAGTCTTCCCTCAGTAAGACTCTGTCTGATTGTGATCCTTTTTAGGTATTGTTGTTTTCTTCAGATCATCCAAAGTCTTCCCTCAGTAAGACTCTGTCTGATCGTGATCCTTTTTAGGTATTGTTGTTTTCTTCAGATCATCCAAAGTCTTCCCTCAGTAAGACTCTGTCTGATCGTGATCCTTTTTAGGTGAAGAGAAACAACAAAATACCTTAAGTTGTTTGTATCAAATCCGGCCTCTGCACCCAGCGCTGATACTCTAATTGACTTTGATTTCAAATGGGTGGATAACACAGCGCTGCCAGACACGCGGGCCAAAAAAGTGTAGCGTGTGTCAAGTTCAAGAGCTGTGCTGTAAGTTTGATGTCATCTAATCAGGTCAATTGATATGATCCACTGTAAGCTGAAAGGCTTGGTTTCAACAGGTCATGACAAGGACCGTCAAAGGCCAGTCAAAGAAAGCACAGGCACTTAAGGGGTAGGTGTCTAGCCAATGAGTGCCTCTGGTCATTATCTCCGTCAACTAACAGAAACCTGGACATTCTGACTGATCTGTCTGAACACAGTGCACCTGGGGAAGAAGCTGAATATTCATTTGGAAATTTCCTCAGCAATGTATGTGATGTCAACTGTCCAATCCCCTGCGTGAGTGGTGCAATCCTACGTCTCAGGATGAGAAACCTGTTCTGATCTTGGTCCCCACATTTTCATGTTGGCAGAAAAAATGGACAGGCAAAAAAAACAGTCCCAACAATAATTTGCAATGGTCATTTCTCTTTTTTACAAAATTAGAAACATCCTCAACCCCTCAAGATTGTGATCAAGAGATATTCAACGCATTGCAGGACGCTCCTGAATGGTGATAGTGATGTTTGGCTTATTAATAGGACACCGCTATTTCTAGCCCCCTATCCGATATCCGGCGCCCCCCTCGGGTAAACCCGGGGGGCGTCGAAGGATTTGTAGCCCCTATTTCCGAAAAAGGGCTACGACAAGGGCGCTATCTCAAACTTTTTTAACTTCTCACTCTCTGACTATCAGATCAATTTTTCCTTTTTTTTATTTTTTTGTGTGTGACAATTTTGAATGGGCATATTTATGCATTTATTTATTGGTGGCATAAGTGGATAGCATAGCATACACCATACACGAGAGGAGAGATAAAACAACATAGTCGTTGAACAAGAAACAAAGCAAAAGACAAAAAACACTACAGCTCTCTGATCTTGTCCCGATTGACCCACATATCCATCTGATTCTGATGATGTGAAATCCATTTAGGTATTTGGCTGGTCACAAGAGTATCTGAGAGTAAATTGATACTATCCGTAAATCGTATTAGTGGGGGGGTGATTACAGGGAGGTTTCAAAGCGGAAGAAGACAAGGCGGAGTGGAGAAATTAAAGTAAGAAACAAAAGGGGATGAGAGCAAAGGGAACGGGAGGCAAAGAGAAAGGAGATAGGTCATGGTGGTTGGGCTAGCCCTTCTTCATGTTCTTTTTCTGCCCGTGATTGTCCCAAAGGGGCGCTAAAACGATCAAATATGATCCAAAAGAGGGCATCATTGAGTGAGTGAGGGCATCATCGTGGGATGACGCCCAAGACAGGAGCCCCCCGAGGTCCGGCTACTGCCATAAGTGCTCGGGTTCTGTCGGGCCCCTCGGGTAATGCCCCAAAAAGTGCGGGCTACGGGTATCTCTTGGGGGGGCGAGAAATAGTGGGATCCTATTAATATTCCTTTCTTTTCTTCTACACATCATAGACTTGTGTCAAGATGGTTATGACATTGACATCACTGTTAGATTTTCTTATTTAAAAGATTCAATACGCTGTTTACCGTTGGTCTCTTTTCTCTATTAAACTCAAGCAGTTATGAGCTCTTGCCGCTTTGATCATTGTAAAGCTTAGCATAAGCTGACAACCTGATACTCACAGGTGTAAGTTGTGTTTATTTAATTAAATTTATAGTTAGAGATGATAATCAAACTCAAAGAGTTATAACCAATTGGATCATCAATGCTTCTATATGGTTATCAATTTTCTTTCCTCCTCTTTATGAAAGTATGCACC